TGAGAGGGATCGGGTCACTCACGGGTGCTGCGCTCGCTCTACTCTGCCGTCAGAACAGAGGAAGCACCTGGAGCGCGGCGGCGGTGGTGGCAGCGGAGCAGCGGCTGGAATGGCGGGCGGAAGGGACAAGATCGACTACGTGTTCAAGGTGGTACTGATCGGGGACTCGGCGGTGGGGAAATCGCAGTTACTGGCGCGGTTCGAGTTCAGCCTGGACTCCAAGGCCACGATCGGGGTGGAGTTCCAGACGAGGACCCTCATCATCCAGCACAAAAGCGTAAAGGCGCAGATCTGGGACACCGCCGGTCAGGAGAGGTACTTCCTTTGCTCTTCTCCGGGACAAAAGCGTATGATGGGATTTGATCATTTGTATCTGAAGTATTCAGTAGTTCTTGCTGGTTACTATTTGCATATGCAATAAGTGGTGTTAGGAGAAATGCCTTGTCGATCTAACTGCTCGTGAAGTGATTCATTTTACTGTACGAAGGGTGATAAGGGACAAAATGGGATTGGAGGCCTTATCACTGCTCCATTCCGTAGGGAGCAAAGGGCTCATAGTCTGATGAGTGATCATTTTGTCGGTTGGCTATTGGTGCATCCCATTGGGAGGAATTGTCCATTTTGAATGATGGACGAACTCAGCACAAAGCCAAGAATTAAATGGAGACTCGATTGACTTCTGGGCTCATAATTCTTATACTCGAGGTGTAGGCCTCGGACCCTTCTTCTAGTTGCGGCCCGTAAGCTTATGAGAAATTATCTGTTTTGGACGATGGGCATACCCCCATAGTTTTGCCCTTTCGTGAGTTCCGAAAGACACCTTTACGAGTAAGAGATATTTGACGGATTTATAAGTCCTTGGTTTCGATACTTCTCAACCAATATGAGACTAAATGGTCTTATCAAATATATACCACTATAAAAGCCGATGAATCTAATTTTGACAAAAAAAATATGCTTGCTGGCAGACACCAATGTAGAACAATCATCATCATTCCATAATCTTTACTGGATTTGACATCCAGAATTGCCTACTACTATCATTTCCAAACTCACTCAGAAATAAATCACATTTTTTGCCATCCAGTTTTCCAATCTTGTGCACCAGGCAGCAGAATGTCAACATCTGTAAAAGCCATATAGACATGAGAAATTCCCATGAAGAACTTTTTGTTTGACCAATGAAAAATGAACCACTTGCTGGAGCTTTTTTATTGCTACAAAATATACGAGTTTCATATCAGGTTGCAATATTTCAAATAAAAGCTTGAATTTTTGTGATCCAATTACAAACTGTTAAATGTTAATTTGCTTTTTCGTGATTTCAAGCACGGAAATTTGGTAGTAAGAAATAGATTCTAACATCAGCATTAGAGAAGGCTGGATGACATAGTAGTTGATGACCAAGTATGTTCTATTAAAACACAAATATTTTACATGATATCTTGAGAACATTTTAAGGTTGGTTGGTAGTTAACCATCCCAAATTATGAAGTATTGATGCATGACATTCAGATATGCTTAATATTGAGTTACCTTTTGTCGTTAACGACTCCTTACGATATGAGCCTCTGAACTTGTCACTTTCTTCAGTAACCTTTCTTTATCTGCAATTCACGCATTGCGATGAAAAGTTCAATCTAGAAACAGATACCATAATGTCTTTCATATTCGAGATCTAGTTTGGAATTTCATGAGTTCTTGCTGATGAGTTGAATGAGTATACCTACAGGGCTTGAAGTTTTATGTCAAAAAGGAAAACACCATCTAGTCTGCAATCCGATGAGCTTGGATCTTCACGGGTATAGTTACAGAGCTGTCACCAGTGCATACTACCGAGGAGCAGTTGGGGCTTCGCTGGTTTACGACATTACCAAGTGCCAAAGCTTTGATCATATTCCTTGGTGGCTATAAGAGCTGCGGAGCCATGCGGACAGGAACATCGTGATCATGTTGGTCGGAAACAAGGCCGATCTCGAGGACCAGAGAGCAGTAACCACGGAAGATGCCCAAGAATTTGCTCAGAAGGAGAACCTCTTCTTCCTGGAAACATCAGCACTTGAATGCCTCCTACAAACGTTGAGAATGCCTTCCGGACTGTCCTCACTGAGATTTTCAACATTGTGAACAGGAAGAACCTGACTTCTGACCCTCGTAGCAACAACGGCAGACCGACACTGCCGGGAAAGAAGATCATCGTCCCTGGCCCTGCTAAGGAGATACCCAAGAACAAAAACATGCTGTAAAACCTCCTAAAATGTTGGTTTCCTCGCTGGTAGCTGCTTACAGCAGAATGGTCTGCTAGAATCGTTCTCATCTTCCGGTCGTAGCTGATATTTTAATTGGTGTCTGTATGTTGGCGGAGGGAGTCAGTTTTTCTGATGCAGTCTGTGTTTTGATTTGCTGGAATCAGATGAAAACATGTGTGTTCTTATAGTACTCTCTTTTTATATTACGACGACATTATTTGAGAGCTAATGGCATGACGATAAGCTATTGTAATCGACACCTTTCATTTTTCACGTTTAACAAATAGGACAAGTTTTTTCAAAAAGTCCCTATGTTTTTTTTTTTCCGCAAAGCATCCCTTTCTAGTTTATTTTTTAGAGTATTTTTATTTTAAAAAATATATATTATCACTGTCTTCTCTTCGTCTCATCGATCATTGCCTCTGTCCTATCATCGCTCTTTTGTGTTATGTCATTGTCACCCTCGTTCACCACTACTGAGGTGTCTCTAAGGCTCCAAATTTGTCTCGTTGTGTTTATCATCGACCCCGTCCCGTCTCGTGGAGCATCTTCTTCGTCCTGTCATTAGTCGTATATTGTTACCTCCACTTTCGTCCTCATTCATCACCTCTACCCTTACCTTCTTCTATAGTCTCTTAGATTCCAAGACCTTGGCACTAAGGAAGCATGCTGCTGCCTACTTCTACCCCTTGATCAAAGGAGTAGAGTAATTAGAAAGAGCAAGCAACACTTGTATCAATGTCAATGAGAACTAGTGATGGAAACAACTATCGATGATACAAAGGTTAGAGGGGTGCTCTATAAACCTGAAATAGAGTATCATGGGAGTAAGTGAAATTATTTTTTTAAGAATATATATATATATATATATATATATATATATATATGCTTCTCATATTATTTAAAAGATGATATTATTTCTAACCTCTCTCAAGTATATATATATATATATATATGCTTCTCATATTATTTAAAAGATAATATTATTTCTAACCTCTCTCAAGTCAATTGCTAACTGCCTTAGCCCCGTCGTCCCTCGTCTATATCTCATTACCTCCCCCCTTGCTCTCGTCTACCATCCTTATTTATTATTATTGAGGTACTACTAAAGCTTCGTCTTCGTCCCATCACAAAAGGAAAGGAGAATGTTAGGATATTAATGACACTCGAAAGGAGAGTTAAATTAGTACGATAATATTTTTAATTGATTTTAAAATTCGATTGATAAATTAATATGTTTCAAAAACTCAATTAATCAAATTAAAGTTGCAAGTAAGTAAATAAAATTAAGTCATAAAGTGCAAACAAAGAGAGGCAAATTGAGAGGTAAATTGATTTATAGCAGTTCGATCTTCCTGACCTATGTCTGCTCCTGATTCATCTTCGCTCGAAGCTATTAGTTTTTATTATCGATCTTCTTTTCAATAGACAAAGATCAACTACTCTTATTATAACTTTTTTCTTTTCAAGCTAAGGAGATAACATTCACTCTCTTTCTATACGGGATCTCCCACTTCCTACAACATAGAATTATAACCAACTAAAGAGGATAAGACTCAAACTATAATTAAAATGAGAGTTTAAAGTCTTGATCGAGATTATTTTAAGTCAATTTAAATTGATATCGGATCAAAACCATATTAACTTGTCGAGAAACCCATTGGGTTTGAATTAAAGTCAAATTGGACCTATTAGAAGGCCAAATCGGTGGCCTAAACCAGGCATGGCGATGGTACTGTTAGGCCGAAGTGATTATACTGCCGAAGTTAGCCGAAAAGTAATGTTTGTACCTTTTTAGCATTTTCAATGGTAGTATTGTGTAGGGTGATGGTAGTATTGCCTAGACCAATGGTAGTACTGCCAAAGCCAAGATTCACGACCCCTTATGGCGGTAGTATTGCCCGGTACCGATAATAGTATTGTTAATATCCCGAAATTTTGAAGATTTGAATTTTAGCTCCATCAACCAAGCCTGAGTAGGGTATTTACTGACCCCCAAAGACTTCAAGAATAGAACTAAAAATTCAAATACACAAAATTTTGGGGTATTAATGATACTATTATCGTCACCGAGCGGTACTACCACTGTAATGGGCGAATCTTAAACTTTAACAGTACTACTATTGGCCTAGGAAATACTATCATCGCCCTAGGCAATACTACTATCAGGCGGTACAACCACTTAGGCCTAATGGTACCACACGGTACCACCGCCCAGGCCCGGTTTAGTCCATCGATTTGGCCTTCTAATAGGTCCAATTCGATTTTAATTCAAGCCCAATGGATTCCTCGAAAAGTTAACATAGGTTTTCACCCGATACCAATTTAAATTGACTCAAAATAATCTCGATCAAGACTTTAACAAATCATCACATATTCGATACATTTACGAAGTTTTTGACACAGACACTTCGTCTGAACCTCTGACACATCGATCTTTCCTTCGACATATCTCAGGATGATATTATCTTTTAAAATAATAAAGATTGCACCACAATAATAAATCAAATAGATACGAGAAAAAATATTTTTTTAAAAAAATTACCATTATACATAACTGAACAAATTAAATCAGTTATGAGCTTTTGCCGAATCTATTTACGTAGGAATCACAACTGAACAAATTATATCATTTAGAGACTTATTTTCAGCATCAATTTTTTGTTAGTTTCATCAAATGTCAATAATATCTGCAACCCTACACCAATCAAACAACCTATTAATTCACAAATAGAAACGAAGCATTCAATATGCACAGCGCAAACAACGTATTAGATCCAACATCCAAATTGCTAAAAGCATTTGGAGGAAATCGTTCGATCAAAATCCATCATCTAAAAAGATAAAAGTCACCGATCAGTTTGCATCATCTCAAACAGCAAAACAGTTTCCAAGCTTAAGCTACACATTTCCCTCGGGAAAAACAAGGTCTACGCTGCAACGGATGGCTTGGAGGCAGCAGAAAGCTTGGACCTCCTCTTGGCCAAACTCTCGCTCCTACGCTCCCTCTGCTCCTTGAGCCTGGTGGCAAGCAGCTTCTGGTACTCGGCTGCTTCTGACTTGGCCTTTGCGATCCTCTTCTTCTTCTCTGCAATCCTGGCACGCTTCCTCTGCAATGTCAATGGCGTCACAAGTCTCTGAATCTTGGGTGCCTTGCTGCATTTCTTGCCTGCAAAGATGAAACCATAATCAGCACGATTCAACCAAACCGTGCAAAGGATACCATAGGAAAGACTTATAACAGGCATCTCATGGCTTACCATACATGGCAAAGTATCCCTCATTTTATGTTCATGATATAACATTGCATCACAGTAGTTTCTAACTGCATGCCTATTACCACTAATGCATCAAACCCAACGTTCTACTGGAAACAATATACAAAGTCTAAAAAGACATCCAACAATGATGGTTGCAATTTCAAGCACTACAAAATACAAAGAGAACTACAATCATTAGTGTTGATGCTTTTATGGTGACAGCAAGATCCTTAAGAAAAAGTCAAAGTGCAAATCAAGATGATGCTCACAAGCACTAGCAAAACTTAGTCCAAAAGTCAACAATAGTATAGTAGCTCATGTGGCATGCAAGACAACATAGCAATGAGAAAAATACATCTTCTATAAGGTAAAGAGTCTGGTAATGTCAAACTGAACCTGATTTTGTTGTGAAGGTTCGGCGGTACGTATTGACATACTTGCGGACATCATCTTCCTTGGAAAGGTTGAATAGCTTGCGGATTTTTGAGGCTCTCTTAGGTCCCCTCATTCTAGGCTTCTCAATATCAGTCAACCCTGGAAGATCATTCTCACCTTTCTTAACAATAACCAAGTTCAGAACTGAGAGATCAGGGCTGACAATGCATCCACGAACTGACTTCCTCCTGCGCTCCCCATTACGCCTGCCATACCCACGGAAGCAAGGTGTACCTGTGACAAACTAACTAAAGTCAGAAAACAAGATAGAGAATAATCCAAATGGCTGCAAAAACCAATAACAATATATCATTACCTCTGTGCAGCAGCAGGCGAACACGTCCAGGTGTGAGTACCCCCTGCTTCATGGGAAAACCTTGTTTGTCACATCCTCCCATGATTTTGAAAACATAGCCTTTGAATTCCTGGTAAGAAATTGCACGTCTTACATTTTTAATATCATAAACTATTGTACCAGCATTCTTACAGAAAAATCACGGCTAACACATACCTCACCAAGGGCATCCCCGCTGACTTCCTGAGAGATCCTCTTGTCAAAAAATGCTCGACTGCATAACAAATTATGAAGTCATAGTGCATGTTCATTATAACCACTATAGCACTATACAAGAATAAAAAAATTCTGAAAAATAATAAAAAAGTTGTATATCATATGACCACACAGTGAAATCATGCAGAGAATATGATAATATTGTAAGCAATAGGTTCTGTGAATTCCGAAATTTTAAATGGTAAAAACAATATTAGGAGACTTATAGAACAAGGTAAAAAGAGACAATACATTAGTTGACAATATAACAAACAAAAAAATATTAACAAGAAAAAAAGAACTAAAGCAACAGAGAACTGTTACAAATAGTGTCATTCAAGATATCTTGGTAGTCCAACATATATTTTACAGCCACTACTAACTATCAGCATCAGGAGCTAAGTGTTTTTGGGAGGAAAAAAATGATATCCAGAACACCTGGGCTAGTTCTTTTGTCAGGTGAAAATCATGGTCGAGATGATTATCAGACGCAACCAAAGAATTGTATAAACTATAGCTGAAAGTTTTTAGCTTTTCTTCTCAAAGAACTGGAAGAAATGCTTGGCATAACTTACTTCCGAAAAACCAGAGTTTCCTTGAAGGAAATCATTTCAAACCCATATTTCATATTATAAACAGCATGATTTCTGACCATTTACACGACCATTTTAAATCAGTGAAATACCCGATGATATTTGACAATCAACTTAGGCATATCAATCATGTGGGAATAAACAACCATAGAAACATAGTTTCAGCAAATTGATGCAATTATTTCCTAGGAAAAAAATCTGATAATCTAAATAAACTAAAATGACACTCACAAACAACGATTTACATGCACTAATTCAAAATCCCTCTCGATAATGACAGCAAAACAGATAGCGCCAAATCCAACATATTCTATCAATAATTTGCATCGATCGAATGAATAAGAAAGATCACAAGACAAGACTACATGACATATGTTGCCCCTGTTACATGAAGAACAATGAAATAAATTAACCAATGGAATAGGATAATACAATACAACAACAAAGTCCGATCTATAAACAAGACGCAAAGCATCGACATGATACTCCAAAAACCACATGAACTTACAGCTTCTGATCGTCATCTATCTCGAGCTTCTTCTGACACCCGGTGGTCGGATTCGCAATATTGAACTGCAAAAGGAGACAACACCGAGACCAACATTAGCCATTCAGATCCTCCACGAATCAGCAATTAAACGTAACAAGTTTCGTCGCGCCTCATACTTCCGGCACGAACAATAAAAAAACTCGGGAAAAAATATCGGAAACCGTCATCCGCTCGCCAACATACCTTCATCTCGGATCAAAGACTCCCTTGCCTCCTCGACGCGAGAGACGACAGCAGATTTATCGCCAATCGTCCCCGCCGCTAGGGTTTCTCTGCGCCCTTTGGAGCGCTCCCTAATTGACCCTAATTTATAGCGATGGTGCGAGACTTACGAAGCTAAGGATCTTCAATCTGGACCGTTCATCGTTGCGCCTGATCGAATGGCTTCCACCGTTCATCCTTTCTGATCACCAGATAAGATTTGATTTTTTCTTTTTTCTTTTTTTTTTTGTGGTAGGGTATAAAAAGCCATAAACGCCTTTCGATCAATCTTCTAAATAGCTTTCTTAATAAGTATTTAGTATTTAATATGCTCGTCATAAATTTCACTCAACGTGAGCTTAAAAAAGCGTATTCGATTGCTCTCATCTAATGTCTTTCTATGTTAATTGATATGGTATTCGGTATTCACACGCCGGTCCGGCTTTAAGAGAAACTTGGCACAGCATTCGGTCGGTCCACGCGCGCACGGCGCTTGGTCTTTGGCCTCAGCCGCGCCAGATCTGGTCACATCAAATAGTTTTGTTACCCAGAGATGATTGCCGACCAGGTGTTCGATGGTTGGAGTGGAGTCCGGCCGACATGCCGCCGACCTCGGCCTGCATCCTTTCGCAGCCCATCAACGTCCAGCCTTCTTCGCGAGACAAGCAAGCTCTGATCGATTTCGTCCTTCAGCCATCACATCGCATCCTTGGTTTTAGTCTTCGGATGGGGATAGGTTTCGGTTTTCATGCTGCTGTTTGATTTCTGGATCTCCCTGTTGCTGAGTAAGCTCCTCTCTTTTCATTCCGGTTGCGGATTCATTCCCAGAATCTCTTCTGCAGAATGTTCGTCTCTAGAGATCGACGAGTTTTGAGGATCACAAGTTCGCCTCTTTTTCTGCAGGCACAGCTCTCGGCTTTTTGGTTGTCTTTGTGTTAAAAGATAACTTACAAGAGGTATCTGATAGTATTATGACGCAATTGAACATTACAAGGTTCCACAACGCATGCTTTTATCTTCTTCTGCTCGTAGATTCCTGTGTTCAAAATGCCATTCATTATGTTCTCCTCAAGTTTCTTTTATTCTTTGAGGTGGTTGTGCCATGGAATCTTAATACTCGATCCTCAAATAATTCGGTGGTGGTCACTCAAATTCAGGCACCAAAAACATGGATAATATGTTTACACTGTGAACTCACTGTTGATAAGCCCAAAGAAATATGTATAACAGGTAAGAGTTAAAAGTAATTCTAGCACAAGCAGGATTGAATCTGCAAATAATTTCAAAGAGATGGTATCATGAGATAGTATCAAAGATACCTGAGCTGATTCTTCTGTTTATATTTTGGTCAATTGCATTCTGTGAGTTAATTCTGGTTAGTGGTCACTATGCTTTCTTATATGCTCGACATCCTGGCTTGTGTCATTCTATTAATGTTCGTGGCAAAGGAGCTGATACTCTTGGTGGTTGTTGTGTATGTGCTTTTCCCATTAGTTAATTGTTCTTGTGCTTGTCCTTGACCTTAGTCCTTGTGCTTCTTTATTACTCCTACTCCTAGATACCTTTGTTGTGCTCTGATGATTTGTCTCATGATGTTATGACATTGGTTTCGACCAAATTAGAAATGGAGTAGGTGGTGATAACCAAAACATCTACAGATATCATATCACCACATTCAGTTTCCTTGCATGATCATTATTAATGACAACAAAGTTCTCAGTAGGACTCAAAACAGCATTGCTGTTAATTTCGCTCTAGTGACTGGTACTTTGTCAGATCAAGAGGAGGTATGCAGGTGCCGCAAATTTCTTGAAGGAATTGCAGATGATGATGAAAGTCTGATAAGAGGTGCCGTTTTTTCATTTTACTTCTTTTGAAATAATTTAGCCTAATTTCACAAAGGTGGGACCTGAGCTTTTGCTATCTATCTGTTGGTGTTGCGAAGGATGAGTTTCATGTTCTTAAATTCAAACAAAGATGAGCCTTTAAGCACTTCTAGTTATGTCTGTGATCTGGCACTGCAACAGCCCTTGTACTAACATTTTGTTGTGTTATTTTGCAGTTTAGATGGTGTCCTATAGATCGGTGAATTTATTGAACTATAGTGATCGATTTGATGTGATGAAGATGCAGAAAACCTTTTAAGGTATGCTCCTCTGTCTAGCTCCCTATCCTCCTGCTTAGATTTCAAGTCAGAGTATATGTTCATACCCAACAGCCATCAATACAATTGCCAATTTGGTCATGAAGGAACAGGGATTTTCCTTTGGATGTCATTACCATGTTTTGACTTGTCAATTCCATATCTTAAAAGTGATGAAGATTACCTGTTCAAATTTGGTTTTGTTCTATAAAAGATACAAACAAATCTATTCAAAGCAATCATAAATAAGAAGCATCCCTGATCTCAATTGAAACTTTTAATTGTAGTGAATATCAGATAGCCCTTATGTTATTTACAAGATCCCTATTACATTCAATATAATCTACTCAGGAGAATAAGCACAAACTGTGTGTTGTAGGGGAAATTTCTATGTACAACAAGGGACATATGAAAAAGGGCTTAACATCTTCTAAATCTTTGAACTAGTTTATCATATACTAAGACCATCCTTTTTGTTCTTTATCTTCTCCTTGGGTTGCAGGGTTAGAGGATGAAGGGGAAGGGAACATACATCAGAATAAAGCCCACTTAGTAGCAGTCTTCTCTTTCATGGTCCTGGAGTGCAACATATCACCATCCACCTCCTTCCTCCTGTCTGAACCAAGTACCATCTTAGACCAAAAGCTCCCCCCCTTCTTCCTCTTCTTCTTATCCTTCTCCTTCTTCCCCTCCTCTTTCTTTTTCCCTTTGTCCTCCTCTCTCAGCCTGCCGATCACGAAAGCCAGCGACCGGCTCTTCTTCAGCGGCCCGGGCTTGAGAAGGAGCCTTAAGCCTTTGTTGCGGACTTGACTGGGAGGGGAGGCAGCAGCAGAAGAGAGGTTGGTATCCGGAGAAGAGGTGGCTGCGGCAGAGGAAAGGGTGGTGGTGGCAGAAGAAGAGGCTGAGAGTTGAGAGAGCCTATCCCTGAGGCAGAAGGGGCACACCCCTCTGGATTGCCTGTGCTCTGGGTGCCTCCTGCACCTCCCATCTATTTCTGACCTCCCCATGATCTGCTTCTGGCTTATTGACTGCAACTTTCTCTGATCTCTTATATGCATCTCCATCTCAGTTGATTCTCATGCATGGACTCTTCGCACGGAGAGAGAGAGAGAGAAGGAGGAGGAGGAGGAGGTGAGCTTCTAGGATGCTTCCAACTTTCTCATCTTTCCACATTTCACTTGGCACTTGGCCTTGGGTTGTCTATCGTTTCTTGTGTTCCTGGATCATCTGGTGGTAGACTACGTGAAGTCTAGAAGTGGCACCTGGACCCACCAGCCTATGTTGATGTCGATCAGCTTGCACTCCGATGCTATTACTTTTAAGTGTGAGCTAAGGTTGTACCTAAGCATAGCATTTAGTCTGAAAAACTGTGACTCGGACTCGGAACATCCCATAGGAAATAAAAAGGGCAGGTCAAGAATTATGTCTCCTTTCATCCTATATCCAATTAATTAAGTTCCAGAAAGAGACTTTGTCTCTGGTCACCCTGCATCCATTGCTGACCATGCTCAATTAATAACGAGTTTTTTTTTTTATGATGCATCAAAATTATCCTTTAAGGTTATCGTCGTTAATAATAATTATCGTTTTGTCTGCCTCTGACGTAATAATTTTGGTTGATGGTTGAGTCAGAGAAAGCCGGAGACTCCAACGCGGTCTCCACGATTGACCCAGTCGGTCCATTTCCTTATCAACTGCACGAACGGCCAAGATCGCTTCATCGAGCGACCCCGACAGTGTCACTTGTGATCGGACGGGCAACATCGGTCGATGCCCCTCACCGAGCCGACGCGGCCGTTACCGACACGAACCGGCGCTGAAGAAGTGAATAAGAAGACGCAATCTCGTCGAAGCAACCGCGAGGCGTCGACCGGGATCGCACGTGCGTGAGGTACGTCAGCCTTTACCTCATCTCACCCCCTCCCACCCCACGTGTCGCAGGAAAAATAAAAAAAGGAGAAAGAAATATAAAAGTGTACAATTGACCGACGCACCCGTCTTCGGACCCCAAACATCACCCGCTTCCGACACGTGGGACCCAGGCACAGGGGGAAGGCCTTCCAGTGTAGGCACGTTGTATACACAGCATTACAGTGCTACGCGTTCCGACGCCGCCCCGTCGGTTGGTGAGCTCAGTGCTTGCGATTCCTGTTGTTGACCATATTTTAATCGTTCGACACGCGGTCAGAAACCTCAAAATTTGGGGTATCGGATGAGGGTGTCCGAAACAGTCTCGGCGCAGGGCAGAGGGAGCGCGTGTGACACATATCAATCGTGCTGACACGTGAAGTATGGTGACACGCAGGTCCACGCATGACACGGGCGTCGAGTGTCGTGAGACAAGTGGGAGCCACGCACGTGCAAGGAACGCGGGACCTCCCGTGAAATAAAATAAACGCGTAACTCCAAAGTCTTCGTACCGGTTGGAGTCCACATGTCCGCACGAGGGGTGCGGTCCAGCCTGGCCAGAAACCGGAGAAGGGTGTGATTGGTTACCCGTCGAGAGTAGTTCCCACGTGGGTGACGGATATAGCTCGCGAGCGTTACTTATGGGTGTCGGTGTCGGTAGCCTCTGTCGAGGTGGAAGGTTAGTCCGATCTAATTCCGAGATTTGACTGACTACTGCGTGAGAAGTATTCCTGAAACAATAGCGAAGGTGCAAACGTCTCTCCTCCTGGAGCAAGGCTTATTACGTCGAGGGTGCCTCTTCTTGACGAGGTCAAGATTCCTGTGATACTGGAGTTAAGAAGATTTTGAGATGGATTAATGTGTAATAGAAAGATAGATAATATAACCTGATGCAACATCAACCCCCTCTTTGGAATCGAAACGCCCTGTGACCGTAAGCCGTCATGGAATATGACGGATTTTTGTTCCATACCATCGTCAATCGATCATAAGATCGATTGGGTGCATCATGATTAGTCCCAGAAATCACCATTACAGCAAATCCTCACCCGTTAAGCCAATCATTAATTAATTTACGATTGGTGGGACATGCAGTGGTCCTGCTCTCATTGATTCTTAATTCAATGTAACCGTTATTATTAAATATCTTATTTAATAATAATATAATCGTTCTCATTCAAATTCATAATTCATTATTATTAATTTTTTTATTTATTATGGTTTAAATGATTTCAGTTTTTTATTCATTATACATGAAATTATTATTATTAAATTAAATATTTAATGTCATTAAAATTCTTTATTATAATCCAAACGTTATAAATTTGAATTAATTCTTGAACATTATGAGTTGGTGATAATAAATATTCTTGATGAGAGAACATCTATATATATGAGAATTTTGGTCCTTGGGCTTAATCATTTCTTTAAAATTTCCTACACCATCTAAAGCAAGAGTTTTGAGCCGAGAAATGCCAAAGTTCAAGAAGAAACCTCTGCAAAAATTCTTGACAACAATGGCTGGAGATACGCTACTTTGTTTCCGCATCAGTTTTTATTGTGTTTCTATTATAATGATTTAGAAACACAAGTTGGCTTCAATGATTTCTTACATTTGGTATCAGAGCCTTTTGACCTCTGCCTTGATACGAAATAGTTTTCATTTCTTTTTGTCATGAAAATGATTTGATTTTGGTTTCTTCTTGGAAACTTCTTGATATATTTTGTTGAAAATCATGAGGAAATATCATTTTCAATATTTTAGTTGATAAAATGTTCATATTATGTATGCATATTTAGTTATATAAAATTATGCTTATGAGTCAATTTTTTATGTTTAAAATGTCTAGTGATCCATATAATCTTAATTAATTAAAAATTAGTCACAGCATCCTTAATTAATTAAAATTATATATAAAGTTAAAAATAAGGATCACATAAGTAATTAGATATCATATTGTGACTGATTATATTTCATATAATAATTATTATCTCATAGGATCTTTTATTATATTTAATATAATTAATCAAGATAAAATATCATATTATTTTTATAATTTACCCATAGGGATTATGAATTGAAATATAATTTGATAGTTTTATCATAAAGACCATTTG